AGTTGCTTGGTCAAAGTGACTACGCGAGTCGGGTTCGAACAAGCCTGACGTTACTGGATAATAGGATCGTTTTAATAGCCGGTTCATATGATAATGCAATGAGTAATACCTCTTCCCCGAAGAGCAGCCGTGATTAGTGAGGTACCCGGCGGATAGAGGTGGACGCAGGCGGCAGCATATCGCCACGTCGTATCGCCAGTCTACTTGAGCTTTCCCGGTCTCGGAGTGCATGCAGTAAAATGTGTATGAGGCACAGTAGTTCCGGGGATTAAGTCTAGTTGGTGTTGGACTGCGGCGCAGTTGAGACATTGCCCCACTGCGGGCGGGAACGTGATCACGAACCCTTTGAAGCGGCTCTCTTGTCGTGTCACAGTCAACGACAATGCCCATTGTTGCTGTTGGTTTTTTGTAGTCTTACATCGCAGATTTGTTCTGACGTTGTAACGAAGATCTGAAGTTCGCAAGACCATAGCGACAAACCATGTCCAGTCTGCCTCGCCACGCACGTGCAGCGCAGGGCATTCGGCCCCTGCATTGCATCGCAGGACATCTGCATGAACTATCGGATCGCGCGAAGAAGAGGCAGGAGCGGGCAGATGGATCAGTTCTCAGTGGACTATGTGGAGTACATACGAGGAAAGTCTCTGCGCACGTCAGCCGGGCGACATCCGCAAGCGCCTGGGGGCCAGGCATCTTGCTTCTCACGAGGTCGTTATTGGATATGTTTGGGGGTATATGGGCTTTCGATTCTTCCGCCGGTAGTAGACTAGATCGAGGGTGTGCGATGGAGCAAGTCGAGCTTGGTATCTTGGGTCGCTATAAGTATGCGGAAGCGTTGCGATAACTCTTAGGCCATCTCCATCGATCTCATCTTCCAGCAATTAGTGCTCCTCTTCACGCCTTTCAAGATGCGGTTCTTCATCCGTGCTCTATCTCTTGCTGTAGCTGCGACATCGTTTCTTGCTCATGCGGCACCTCTTTCAACTCGCTCAACCGAAGATTCCATCGCGGGCCGATACATCGTACAGCTCAAGCCGGACGTGGACGTAGCAACATTTACCGCTCATCGTGAGAAGGTCCGCAGTATAGTAGCTCGCCATCTCGGACGACGAGACGACGTCGACCTGAACGCAGGGATCGATAAGGAGTACAACTTCGGAGACTTCAAGGGTTATGCCGGGGCCTTCGATCCAGCCGTTGTTGCCGAATTAGAGGCATTGGATGATGTGTTCCTCGTCGAAAAAGACTTCCTAATGTATCCAACGGCTCTCGTAACGCGTACGTATAAACATCCTGGAGCCCACGTCGACGTTAGGTCACCCACTTTGTCGTCTGCAGACCTGGTCGGTTTTGTTTCCTTGTATGAGGTGCGTGTCGCTAACACTGAGTAGAGACTAACGCACCATGGGGTCTTGCAAGCGTATCCTCCAGGACCAGAGGAGCCACCAGCTATATATACGATTCGACCGCTGGCAGCGGCACCTACTCGTATGTACTAGACAGTGGAATCCGAACGACCCATAACGAGTTCGAAGGCCGCGCTTCCTGGGGCTACAATGCAGCCAACACCAACAATGCTGATGTCACCGGTCATGGCACCCACGTAGCTGGTGTAATTGGTTCAAAGACCTACGGTGTCGCCAAGAAGACAAATCTCATTGCGGTCAAAGTGATAGGCGATGATAACGTTGCAGCTGGTTCCAGTGTGCTGGCCGGCTTGAACTGGGTAACAAACGATATTGTTACCAAAAGCCGACTGGGTTCAGCCGTGGTGAACTTATCGCTCGGTGGGCCAGCCTCCTCATCCATGGATAACGCTGTCAACGCATTGGCGAACCGAGGTATATTGCCTGTCGTCGCTGCAGGAAACGAAAACCAGCCGGCCGCAAATGTCTCGCCGGCTCGTGCTGCCAATGCTCTGTGCGTAGGAAGCGTTCAATCGAATGATGCTCGTTCTTCGACGTCGAATTACGGATCAGCCGTAGACATCTGGGCTCCAGGTGGTGATATCACGTCTACCTGGCACACTTCAGATACAGCCACAATGACAGCGAGTGGTACCTCGGCGTCTGCACCTTTTGTGGCTGGTCTAGTGTCCTATCTGCGCGGTCTCGAAGGGCAATCGATCGGTCCGGCCGCGAGGGCAAGAGTTTTGGCCCTGGCTACTGTAAGTGGCTCTGCACCGACTGCACGTGAGACGTACGCTGACTTCGCAAACCTAAATTTAGCCAAATCGCCTTACAGATGTAGCAGGCGCACCAAACCTATTGGCTTACAACGGAAGAGCTTGAAGGCGATGGTCACAATCGGCTCGAATTTCGCCCTTACATAGCAATACAGCCTCTATTTAGCTGGATCCATCTTTGACGTTACATCGGCAATAAATAGTTGCGTTCAATGGTGCCTAAGACGTGATACGACGGTCGGCGCGATGTGTATCATGGTCCACAGGTATTGCGGCACGCGTTCCTAACGGAACTCTGGAGGAGGTTGAGGTGTCTCAAGGATGGGGAGTGGATTGCCAAGATCCATGGAAGCAAAACAAGTATCTGCTCGGAGTGGTTGAAGTCGTAGTTGCGTCCGGTGACGAAAAGTTTCGCTGGCTGTCACTGCTCTCATGGTAGGAGAACATGCCATCCGGAATAGGCTAAGACCGACTTAGTCATCCGATGAGTGGGGCCCATCAGGGGTTCGCGATCTCGATGACGTAGAACACCCTCCTGTTCACCCCAACCTCACCACAGATACCACGAGCATGCCATTTACACCTGTCCAAGCTGCCATTAATGCGCTCCGGAGTCTGAATTGTAACCCTGGACCTGGTGAGGTGCTGGCAGTTTCGGACGTAGCATGGACTTCACTTGATCATCATGAACAGTTCCTGCAATGGCGTCTTCCAACGCAGTCGCTTCCTTAACAGCAGGCACGTTGATCCCTACGACGATTTGGTACCTACTCTCCGGTCGCAACGCGGTCTTAGCAGTCTATTGGAAATTCTCATTGCGATGGAAGCAGCACCAAAGTCTTAAAATGCATGGGCGGGTAGGAGATAACCGTCTGAAGATGACAATAGTATACAGGAACCTACGAATATGACTTCACTTGCTGGAAGCGGCAGTCGCGTCTCCTGCTTAGCACTCTTACCCATATAGATCCTTTCGACAATCACTACCGAAGAGCTTCAAAGCAACTGCGACCCTACCGCCTACTCGAGACCGGTCGCACGCGATGTGTACACATTCGAGACCACATTCACGGCGATCGGGCCGCCATCAACCGTATCGTTACCTCTGGCCTACGGCCTATCGCAATGGTCATAGTCTTGCTTCCGAGTTGCGGATTAAGAGGGCTGATCAAATCCTTGCTCTCGCCTCGGATCACGACAAGCGATGACGCCGAAACTTCGACTCCACGATACGTCTGCGCGCGCAAGAAATACCAAAGTGGAAGAAAGGGACGAGCATGCGTTTACCGAGTCAGCGGCGAGCGTACGGGCAACGGCGGACGCAAAGTCAGGCTATACACGAATGTGGAAGGTGTCGATCTCGACGACGACGAGCGGCGGAGTTTCGCTGGCATTCAACGCACTATGCGCTACACCAAGGGCCGCAGCCCAAGGCCGGAGAAATGTCACTCCTCTCGGATACCGCGCTCTGTGGGCAAAGAGCGGCTGAAGGCCAAGAGGTTGGCTGGCAAGGCTCACGATGCAAGCGATGAGGGCTCTGATAGTCGTGCTGAAGGCAATGGGATTATGCCCTCACGAGCCAGACTCTTGAGTGCAAGCTCGGACGAAGTGTGGGACGTGCCCAGACATCTCAGATTTGGGGACAATGGGAAGCATATATTCTGCCAGTCGCATAATGGCTCACGCAGCAGGACACGCGATGTCAATCCCCGTGAAGGCTCACGAATCCACAGACGAAAAGAAGCAGGCCGCTTTGGTGAGCCGACTTCGCAAGCCGAAGAACGCGTGCGAAGACGCCGAGACCATTATTGCTCAGGCGCGCTGCCGATCCCAGAGCATCGGTCAAACAGACCATCTCTAGAATCAGCACCGATACTTCCTTCAAGAAAATCTCGAACAGCCGCAGCGAACAATACCATCAAGCTTGTCATCAATCCCGAAGAATATACATCCAAATTAGAAGAACATAAGTCACTGGCCGGAGAGCAGAACGTATTTGGGGTATCAGAGGCGCCTGGAAGCCCTTTCAGGCAACCCGGACTGACGCCACAGGAGTCGTCCGACTTAGTCTTCGGGGCAAGCTCTCAAGTCGAAACGCGGAGACGGCTGCGAGCGGGTCGGGCAGACGATCATATTACGCCAGACGTGCATGAGTCCGCATCCCAGCTCGTACCCGATCCTTCGCTAGGCAAAACCCAGCAGAACGCGAACGCATACAGCCTGTCTCGAAACCCACCTGCATCAGACCTTGGACACACTATGTTTAGCCATGGTGAACATGAGGTTCTTACAAGATCGCGAGCACCGGCTCTCATCAATCCTTCAAGAACAGTGTTGTCAACACACGGCCCCACGGGGGCAACAATGCCACGGTTTCTTCCAGAACAATCCCTACAACCAGTCATTTCAGGTATACCTGGCTTAGTCCATTCTCAGGCCGGTCCACCATTCGATCAGTACCTATCAACTGCCACACCGGGTACCCCACCGTATACGCCCGGAAAGGCGACATGATACGGAAATGATACAGCAGCGTGGTATGGCATATGAAGGTCAGCCCGGCCGTCAATCTAAGTGTCTGACAGGAACTCCGAATGGAAAACAACAATTGGGGTATTATTAAACGCCGTTTACCGAAGGCAAGATATTAGCCAATCCAATTAATCCACGTCCTCGATCAAATCATCAAATCCGCTGTTCATTACGGGTATTGCCTCATTTCCTCCGTCCAACTGATCACTTCCGCTATGTTGGCTGATGTCGTCGTCCAAATCCTGATATTCCTACTTAGCATCAGTTTCGGTGTCGACAACGTTCACGTCTCCTGTGCGACCGGGGTTACGATGATCTTCGCCCCCATGACGGCCGGGGAGTCCGCGTCCTCGATGTCGGGATAGATGTTATTTACCAGAAATTGTCCGACCTGCCATGACTACGACTTTGTTAGCTCTCAGCATTTCCATTTGACTGGAGACACGCGACGTACCAGAAGCCCGCCCTCCACATAATGTCTCCACCTCTCTGAAGACCCCAGATATACCAAGATCTCCCATGGCAACTCCTCGCTATCGAACTCCCAAAACGTCATGTACTGGTACACTGACGCCTTGTCTACTTGTTTGTACTTCTCGTCCTGGATGAGCGAAGCGTGCTCGAGCTTGAAGATGCGCGTGCGAAGAAGTCCAGGACTCTCGAGCATACCGGGCGTAAACTCCTCTCCGAACCACTTTACGAATTCGTCGTGAACCTCTGGGGCGGGCTGCCAAAGGACTACGACCCACATTTGGACATCGCGGGGATCTGACGCAGGGTGTTAGCTTCCATGGTGCATCCTTGTATCATGATCTTGAGGGTGACATACCTCCGCGCCACTCTTCCCCAAACCAGTTCTTATGCTCTGTGTAGAACCGTGTGTCTACCTTCGCCTCATTCGGAAGTTTGTCCAGTGCAGGGCATATCCGCGCATCCAGGTCTTGCGCGCTCGGTTGTTTTGGTAGGTCGTAAATAGTCATGAGTCTGCCATCAATCCCAGGTACTTCCTGGAATGGGCTGTCTTCCACTTGCTCTGCATGTCTGGCGGTGGACCTGATCTTCACCAGGGCGTCGGGTATATGCGTGGTTTCGTACCAGTGATAGGCATCGTTAGCATCCTCGCCTAACTCCGCCCAGGCACAAGCAATTCTTGACATGATTTCTTTTTGCGAGAGTTGGTAATTCGGTTCCGCGGACGTGGTCAAGAAAGATGAATGCAGAAAGGTAGGTGAGACTTGACAGAGCAAGAGAGCAAGGTAACACAGCGGTCAGCATAAGGAGTACGCGTAAACGGAGCACACCTGGACTGTGCCACGAAAGTTTTGCCCTGCATCCCTGAACCATGTGCTCTTCAGCAAGGGTTACTCCGTCGGGGCAAGTAAAGCTGTAAGAATTTCCCCAATCAGTATGGTGTCGTGGCGGCCCGTATCCGCCTGACTGCGGCCATGAGGGTGTGTCCGCAGTACCGCCGGGGAAGTTCGCATTGCCGAAAGCTAATTTCGCGACTACTGCCAATAGTCACGATCAGTGTAGTTCGCGAGCTGATCTCAATCAATGTGAGGCAAACTATAACTTTAAAATGATGATGCGCTGGTAGCAGTCGGAGGCAGAGGCAGGTCGAGTCATGTGAATCACCGATGCGCCGGGAGTCGGACATGGGTGATACGCAGGAAGACCGAACGGGTGATCAGACGGCCGGAAGGAGAAGCGCGCAGACAGGAATCAGGTAAGTTAGCCAGCTGATTAGCATGTATTGGCTCGCTAAAAGTAGATAATGCTTTCGATTTGAGGTGTGCAGGATCGCTTAGACAGCATGAACGCCACGTAGTAAACAAGATATGGCAAGACTGCGCCGTAACCCGAAACCTCCTCGTGCGCGTTTCCCACGTGGCGCCCCAGACTGTGCGACATATGACGCAAGTGTTCGCAGCTCTTACATAGCGTTTTTCTCTTCCAACGGAATCGTCTTCCCTTCCAATGAGGCTTCCCTGACGTACACATACCCATCTCTTCCTTTACAACAAGATACCGTCCCCAATGTCGATATGCATCTTCTTCTCATGCACATCTCTCTTGTCCCTCCGTGGAAAACCACGAATCGCCCGTCCACAACCCAGGGCGCGGCATTGGAAACGACAGTCATCCAGATGGGATCCTCGGTAGTGGCGTCGGAGGTCCGGCATCCGTGAGTACTTCTTATTGCAGCCGGTGTGTGTGCAGATGTAGACTCTCTTAGTCTCGACTCGGAAGGGGATATCAGCTGCAGTGCCACTGATCTTCGCGTCATGCAGCCCTTGCGGAGAGCCGTCGAGTCCTGGAGTAAGGAAGTTCCCATACCTACCATTGGACGTTAACTCTTGGGCAAGAGTCACGGCGTTGCGCAACTCCTGCCGCGAACCGCCCATAGATGGAGAGGTTCGCCCGGTTCGCCCAAGATTGTTAGTATCCGGCATGGTGGTATTGCCATCCGTGATGGGGTCGCTGAATCCCGTAAAGCCGCCATGTGCGAACAGCTGTGATGTGATCGGTTGGTGGGCTTCGTGTTGTCGATTGAAGGTGCCTGTAGCGTTCTCGCCTAACCATAGGACCTGGTTTTCCGGGAGGTTTTCTTGGTGAATCACGGAGATATGCCATGGCAGATATGGTCTGTAAGTCTAGATGGGGGCATGGTCGTGACTATGGCCTCTAGGAAAATGATCTGATTACATGTCGCGCGCAACACATGTTTTACGAAATCTGGTTAGATCAGTGTATATATCGTGTTGTTCTTGGTAACTTAAGGAAATTGCGGTGTATGGGAACAAAATCCGCAGCCAAAGGGGCGCTGGGGTCTTGAGTACATGTGGGGCAGAGCTTGAGTACATGTTGGGAGCTTGAAAAGTGAGAGACAGTGAAAATACAAAGATTAAGGCTAAAAGAGTCGTAGAGACATGCCCCATCCATAAACGTCAGTCTATATCAAACGGAACCTAAATGTGATCCAACATACGCTTCACAGTTCTGGTAACTCCCATCAGTGTTTCCGCACGGAAGTGCCGAAGCCATATTTGCAGTTTGTTCGATGGTCGCTTCGAGATTCACAGTCCTGTCTGGTTCCTCCAAAGCCGTAAGGCCCCAGTCTTTGGTGTTGATTTGATGTGATTGCAATCCGAATTGAGCTTCATCCTTGGGCAAGGCGGCAGCATACAAGGTGGGAAGTAGGGCCAACCGAACGTCTCGATCGATGTCTTCGTCGATGCGTGCGTACGATGCCATGTCGAAGTAATGGAGGTTATTTCTGGAAAGACGATAACGGCGAAACTATGGATCTGAAATGGCGAAAACTGCGGGCGATCATATACCATTTAAAACGGTGATACATCAGGCTGTGTTGCCCTTCCATGCAAGCGCCCCTCGGGCTGAGGGGCACTACCACGTGTCCACGTTAGCTACCAATAGTACGCAATTGCAAAGTGTCCTTCAGCCTGTCGCAGTCAATCGTGTAAAGCGCTAGGGATTGGCAGCATCCTCTGGGCGAGATATCGAGCTGTCAATGGACGGGATGTACTCCTGCGCGTGACGATACGCGAGGCATCCTAGGATCAGTTGAGTGGGTGACTCTTGATTACCGAACTGCAAAGGACGTGGAAAGCAGCTTCAGCAGAGACACATAGCGCGCATCAAATGATGATCCACAGTTGGCAACTTGATAAACAAACATATGGGAGTGATGCTGATGTATTGTTAGTGCAGGTGCAGTTAGGGATGGTGTGGCAATCACAAAGTGGGGCGGCGCAGTTTACACCCGCCAGGGCAGCAGCGCCTGGCACCATCTCCCCGTCTCCATCCCATCCACTCCAGGCCAACCACACATCAACGTCGGCCGACTTGTGCTCTCACCCCACGCCCCAATGCTAATACGAATTTATCTGTCATTACATACTGAATCACGTGTCTAGGGGATATTTTCAGGGCTTCCCAGCAAGCTTGCTCACCAAGTAAAGCTCGTGGACCCGTGCCGTACACTTCTCTCCGCGGCGACGCTGGAGCCACGAATCGCCACAGGTACATCAAGGGGCGCGTCTTTCAGGACCCTACGGAGTAAGGCCCGTGTCAGCACCTGCTTGACAGCGGAACAACTCACCTACGATGCGTCGTCGTGAACTTGTCTAGTATATCCGATCGCGCTCCGATACTCAGAGTCCACATTTGTTCCTTGATCTGAGTAGGCCAGACTCTGGTCTTTGATAGGCATTTTCGAACCTTCGAAGTCACTTCGTCGTCGTGGTCCAGCATGTGTACGCGCTTGCTTCTGACGCGCGTCTCGACCTAGCGCGCATTATTATCCGATGCGCAACCTCCAACACCGGTAGGCAATACCTTCTATATTCGTTCTGTTCTATCAATTTGTTCTTCGGCCGAACTTGGTAGTTCAATGAATCTTTCAAAAATCTCGTAGTAAGCTTCACGCGCGGCTACCAATCAGTTCACCACGGTACCTGCCCAGGAGGAGTGATGGCTTTCACGATTACCCTATCGAACTGACCCTTTGCCTTCGACTCACGCCGGACCCATTGTATCGGTAATAAGGATACTAGTGAACTACATTTCCTTTGTTCCACAATGTTGGAATTGGTGGAGAAGCGGGAAAGACCAAGGGCGCTCCTTAAACTAACATGGCGACAAGTTGGTGAGGCGCGCAATTCACGCATTTTCACGGTAGTTCACCAGCATCCGAAGTCCTATAAGATCAAAGTCTACAGTATGGAATTCCGTACTGCATCTGTTGTCCATCTGATCGAATCACAACAATGTTGCGCAACACACTTTCGACAGCGACCGCCCTAGCGGCCTGGGCGGTTACCGTCCAGGCTTCTTTGAACATGTCTGATTCATCTTTCAAGCTCTTTAAGTCTTCGTTGAGTCAGCTTGCGGAGGTCTACTTGCCAGGTTCAGAAGAATTCGCCAATGCCACTGTACGATGGGGTGCCGGGCAGACTCCGCACTACGATATGATTGTAAAGGTTGCGACGGAAGAAGATGTTCAGGAGACTGTTAGTAAACTCTTACCATGGTGAGCTTTTCTTTTAGCTAACCTTAAGCCAGATCCTCTATGCCAATGCCAACGATAAGCCCTTCCACGCCATCTCGGGCGCTCATGCGACGACAACATACCTCAACAACATCACAAACGCCGTCGGAATCTTTATGCGGGGTATGAACAATATCTTCATCGTCGACGATGGCGATACCGCTTTGATTGAGGGCGGTATCCTCAACGGCGACGTCATTGACTTCCTAGGGCTCCATGACAAGCAAACAATGACAACGGCTTGTGCCTGCGTCGGCTACGTCTCCCCTATCCTCGGAGGAGGCCATGGCTGGAACCAAGGACGTTACGGCCTAGCATCCGATCAGCTCGTTTCCGCGCGTATGGTCCTAGCCAACGGTACCGCCATCACTGTCAACGAGAGCAGCCCAGACCTGTTCTGGGCGATACGTGGCGCTGGTCACAACTTTGGTCTAGTGACCCAGGCTGAGATCAAGATCTATGACAAGGAGCCCGTTGTGGATGGATGGGCTGTCAGCGGCTACTTCTTCACGCACGACAAGATGGAAGACGTTGTAGCAGTCGCGAATACCTGGATGACTGCTGCTAACAGGTCGGTGAGCTTCGAACACTACGTC